CTGCCCCGGGTGCAGCCAGGGCGGGCTTCAGCCCCCGGGACCACCCTCCCATGCCCCCCCCGAGCCCCTGACCCACCTCATGTCCCAGCGGAGTGGCCACGGGGCCGGCAAACGTCGTCCTTGGCTCCTGGTTCCCCCGGGCATCGTCCCCAGGGTGGGATGGGGTCCTGTGGGGGGTGGTGGGCAGGAGGGATGGAGGGATGGATGGAGGAAGGAAGGAGGGATGAAGGAGGGAGGATGGAAGAGGCTGGGGTGCTCGGTGGCAGCTGATCCTGCCCCCGCGGCAGAAGGCAGCTCGTTAATCTGCCTCAATGCCAGGCACAATTACCTCGGGCTGATTTAATCATGGGTGCCCTTCCGGGGGCGGGGGCAGGAGGGGGTTCCCGGCGGATTCCCCCTGGGATGACGCTCCCCGTCTGCCCCCGGCAGGGGCTGGGAAAGGGCCCCCCTCTCCCCGGCCCTGCTCCCGCCTGAGCATCCTCCACCCCCTGTCCCCCTCCTCCAGGACCCCCCGCCCAGGTCCCCCTGGCACAGAGCAGGGCCGGACCCCCGGTGCCAGGAGGGGTCAGTGATTCCCCGGGTCCCCCCGTCGATGAGGAGGGCGGCAGATGAAGGAGAGATTAGTGGCTAATCCCCCCGGGAAGATGAATCTCAAGCTGGACCCTGCGGAGGGGACGCCGGGGAGGGGACACTGGGAAGGTGGACCCCACGGAGGAGATGCTGAGGAGGGGACCCCATGGAGGGGACTCGGGGACAGGCGTGGGGACAAAGTTGGGATGTTCCCGCCGTGGGGCTCATCCTTCCTCCCCGTCTCCATCTTCTCCAGGAGGAGGAGAACGGCTGCTCCCGGGGAAGAGCTTTCCCATGTCCAGCACCAAGAGCGGTGTCCCCGGCGAGACGCCGGTGGGATCGGGGCGGTGGGTGCCCCAAGGACCCAAGGGACACCCCCTTTCCCCGTCCCCATCCCCAAGGTCCCCTCACCCCTTGATGTAATGACCCAAAGGGGTCATTAAGGCTCAGGCCCTGCCAAGAAGAGCCCGGTGCCGTCTCTCTGCATCCCACCCGGGGTCCCCTCCGTGCCAGCACTGGCTCCGGCCCTGCCAAGGCTGGGCGTCGATCATGGAGCCCACGATGGACTGGGCCATGAGGAGGATGACGCCCTCGGCGCAGTCAGCCGTCACCATGCGGGCGCCGTAGCCGATGGTGCGCTGGCTCTCCACTGAGAAGAGCAGGGCCGAGACGAAGCCGTCCACGTTCTGGATGCAGGCCCTCCAGGAGGGGTCCCCCCGGTGCGCCACGTCCCCCCGCGCCCAGGCGTCCAGGAAGTAGACGGTGCCGAAGGCCACCCAGGTAAGGATGTAGCACATCATGAAGACGAAGAGGAACCAGCGGTACTTGAGGTCCACGATGGTGGTGAAGATGTCCGAGAGGAACCGCTTCTTCTCCTGGATGTTGCCCAGGTTCACCTGGCACTTGCCCACCTTGGTGACGTAGCGCTGCCGCTGCCGCTTGCCCCCCTGGGCCACCGGACCCTCCTCCTCCAGCAGCCGCCGCCGCCGCCCTGGGGGTCCCTCAGGGGTCCGGCTGCGGGTGCCGGGGAGCGGGGGCCAGCGGGTGGCCGGTGGGCAGTGGGGGGGGTCACCGGGTCGGTGCAGGGGGGCCGGGGAGGGCTCCCCACCTCCCTTGGGTGAGGAGGGGTGGTTTGGCATCGGGGGGCTCCTCTCCTCCCCCGGGGGGGTCGGGGGCTCGTGCTGCGGGGTGGGAGGGAGCCGGTGGGTGAGGAGCGGCCACCAGCCACCCTCCCCCCACCCGAGGGACCCCCAAAGTGGGGTGGGGGGAGCCGTACCTTCTGGGGGAAGGTGCCGTAGCGGCTGGGGGGGGGGGGGGGCCGCGGCAGGGAGGGGGGGCTGT